ATATACTACACTGTTGCTGTGTTACCATAGTTTTGCTGAGACATCCATGACTTCTTTCTGCTATTGACCAAGCACATGGTCTCTCAAAGAAAACATGCAGTTTTTATGTTGTGAAGTGAGATTGTATTATTATGATGGTGATGAGGTATACAGTAATTACTCAGTTAAAAGCAGTAATTACTCACCGCTTACAATACATATTTGCTACTTTTTCCAGGTTTTTTGCTCACCAACAATCTGCCTGTTTCTGTTTTGATGAACAAGACATAACAGCTTTTTTGAAAATATTATTTAAAACCTACAGTTCTTGTATTAAACACAGACATATTACAAAATAGTACAGTATAACATATACTTTATGTAGTTCAAGTAGGGAGCTGCGTCAGTGTGTGTAGGCTGCAACGGAACAAGTAAAGGTTTATTCCATGCTGAAAAGAGAAGAAAGGAAACACAAGGTTTCAAGGTGTGGAGCCTTCAGTTATATCACAATTGGACTCTTATAATGACAAGCACAAACCAATTAACTAGGAAGCAAGTACTAAACACCCAGTACTTTTACATCTTATAAAACATGAAGTTACTTTTAATACACCTGTAACACAATTAATATTGAAATATTGATTTCAAGTACATTATTTTTTAATTTTAGCTGTAATCTTACTTTATATTGGCTATTGCCTAAGAAAACACCAGAATGAAACTGTCACTTATAGTATTAAGATCAGCTGACAGGAAATTGTAGTTTCATACTGGTACACTCTCCAAGAAGAGACTATTAAAAAAAATTATAATTAAAAAATCCATTATTCTGAGGTGAATTAATAGCCTTTGATCTATCTTGCAGCACATTTTGTTGATTCCAGTTAGTGCAGTGAGGAGCACGTACATGAACTGCACCATAGGTTCTGCATCTGATCCTATTTGGATTGTGGACTAGATTTCTTTGCATTTCCTGTTTAGTTAGTAGCATTTGTTCATTTCACCATCATAGTTTTGGAAATCAAAAATCGTAAGACATCTTGTACTCTTTGAACTCTAGGTACAAAAATCATCTTGTGCACGAAAGCAAGTCTTGGTTGGAGCACAACTTGAAGGCTATAGGAACAATTCTGAACAAGATGGGGTCATTTAGCCCATCTAGTCCACTTAGGATGGAATGTATGTTTGCCAAGATCCACCTTCTTTTCAATTCTTTTTTTATCATTGATTGTATTAAACCAAATAGCTTCTAAATCCGCGGAGAGCCACTTAAAAAAGGATGATTGAAAGGAGCTCAGAGTTTCAAAGTTGCTTAATTAACCTCTGTTTGCTGGAAATATGATCCATATCTTGCTTTGAAGTTCTCAAGATTGAGTTAAAATTTTCTAGCTTTGCTTTATTTTGCGTCGGACTGGTTTGCCCTTTTTGTTGCAGTTGTGGCTTCATGTATATTGGTTTTCCCTGTACCTCTCACGTTGTAAATATTTTGTGTGTTAAGCTATAGTTCATTTGGACTTTTTGAAGATTTTATTTTTAAATATAGATTGGAACCTGTCAAGAAGTGCCAGCAGACTGTACTTGTTTTATTCTTTTTTGCATAACCGATGCACCACATTACATCTGACATATTTGCAACATATTTTGATCAAGGTAGCTCTCATTAATCAAAGGGAGGGACAGATTTGCATGGTTTACGGAAGTGTTGTGCTTGAGCTTGAACTGCTATACGGGTTTTGCCACATTGGGGTTATGGCTGTTTTTTCAAATTAATTCTGATAAATCCTTGAAGGGCACTTTTCAGGGTTTTACTGGCACAGCAAGTCTGTAGCCCTGCACAAAAATAGATAAAAATACTTATTTTTTATCTAGCTATGATCTTATTGGCCTAGAAAGTGTTTTATGTTCAGTTTAGGGTATCTCATAGTTATCTCAAGATCTCTTTAATTCACAGTATAGTCATGCTTTGTGTTTTTATGTTCCAGTGAACTAATTATTTTCATCCTCATTGTTGTTTTCTTTTTGTCTTTCCGTTTGTATCTTAATGGAAAGTAAAGTAGGCACAGTACCATAGTTGCTTTGTCTCTCTGTAGACAGATGAATTGTTTTAACATTATTAATGATTCATCTAATATCATAAAGTCTCTTATCCCTGATAAGCATTCCAGAGATTAAGCCACAGATATAGAGTGCTGGGATGGATAGGGCTCCAGTCCAGCAAGGGGCACACACGTAAACACACTTTGGACTTCTTTCTGTTCAGTCCAAATAATCTTCCAGAGCACGGTTTATGCTGATTGCTTACTTTTATGACCCTTCTGCCAGGGTGATTGCATAGCATTTAACTGGGGTGAAGATCAAGTAATTGTAATGGCCAGTACTCTGCATCAATTTCATTATTTTTTGTTCTGCATTCTGATTTAGCAGTATGTAGTAGTTCAGCTTGAGATTGACTAATTGCTTGGGGTCTTTATCATATGAGAACCCTTCTGACTACAGCAAATACTACTGCATGGCACATTTTTTACATTTAAAAAAAATGCACATTATATTTTTGGCAATGCACAGTGTTTTTGCAAAGAACCTTTTTGTTTTGTTCTCTTTGCTGAGAAGTGCCAACATGTCATCATACTGTATATCCATAATACTTTTTGTCACTGTTTTTTTTTACCAGATTTAGTGGTTTACATCACATGCTGTTTTTTTTGGGGGGGGGGGGATTTTGCTCAAATCTTTGTAATTTACAGTTTTTCCCTTAGCAGTGATGGTTATAAGTGTTTACGCTGTGACTTCCAAATAATCAGTGTGCCTTTTTTTACTTTTTTCTATGTTCACTATCATTTGTTCGCCTTCCATTTTTCTGTATGGGATATCATTGTTTTTCTTATTCTTTCTGATCCTATACTTACCCCACCGTAGTGAACAATTAATGGCAAACCGCTCAATGGGCAAGATACATGTGTGTTCTCCATATCTGAATTTTTAAACCTTTGTTTTGACGTCACTGGTTCACACCTGCTCCACATTTGGGTTTACCACAGAGAGAAGAAACTGTTGATCAATACTGTAAAAAGAGAAGCATCTGTCACAAAGTCCCATGTAACCAGGATACTAACAAAGGCTTTTTATCCAGGTCATGATGTAAGAGACAATGACAATTTTGTGTTGGAAATTGTAGCTATCTAAAAAATCACTTGGCAAATGATCTAGTAAGGTTGACAGAGAATTTGATTTTTGTGAAGTTAATGGAAATATTGGCGTTCACTAAGGGAAAAACTATTTTTTTTCATACATTATAGTTTCAGTTATTTTGTTATTTTGTTAATGTGGTTTGAGTGCAATAAATGAAGACAAGTTATGTGAATTAAGTACATGTAAAAGGCCGGAACAGTGATGCAGTACTTCCAGGGCGTGGCTGCCTTTCAGTATGTGAGCCTTTTGTTTATTTCCTGTCCTGTGGTGTTCATATGCTTACTGTGTATTCGTGTGGGTTTCCTCTGGGTGCTCTGGTTTCCTCCCACAGCCAAAGGCATACTGGTAGGTTAACTGGATTCTGGGAAATATTGGCTCTGGAGTGAGTTTGTGCATGTTTGTGTCTGTGTGTTCCCTCTGATGGACTGTTGTCCCATCCAGGGTATATCTTACCTTGTGCCTGTTGCTAGCTGGGAAAGGCTCCTAGCATCCTCTGCAACCTTGAATTGGATAAAGCAGTTAAAAAAATGGATGGAAAAATGTAATGGTCAAATATTTTAGGTCTCCATTCGCAAAAGGAATAGGCTAATAGTAATTGTTTAACATTATCGTGCCATTGTAACATGATGCATGGAAATAATAAGTTCGGCAGCAGCTATACATGTAATTGCAGTTACTGAACAGCACACTAGGACAGTAAATAGAACTAATTAAGAAAATACAATATATTGTCAGTCTTCTTTATTTTTCTTATTTTATATTCATATTTCATGTTTATGTAGACAAGTATAGTATCTGTGGTGCCCTGCTTTTCCAGTAGGTATGAAAAGTACACCTTTTTTGTAGAATTTTGGTTGTTTGCTTTATTGGTATGAACATCTGCATCTGTATTCTTTTAATAAAGGAATTATTTATTCAGTGCCTTAACAATGCCTTAAACCTTCAGAATAAATTCTTCGATATATGCAGTCCTTTTCATCCCGAAGAATCTCGGTGATTCTTGACATGTCGAAGCTGACCCAATTCATGCACCACTCAAGTGCAGCACCAACCTGGTTGATGTGCGGTGACAATTATCCATCAGTAGGCCCACTATACTATAAAGCAGACCAAGTGAAGTGGTGGAAATTACCTTATCAGTTAAATTAAAGGGGATATCTGGAGAAGCCAGATTGTTAAAAGTGGAATTTAGATAGGGGTTATCAACCTAACTCTTATGGACGGGACCATTGGATCTCTAATGACCAAATATTCAAGAAGTCGGCTTCACTTATCATCCAGAGGATACCATATTGGGATATGGCTTTGGAAATCATAGTTTAGTGGAAACACTGCAGGCTACTGGTCCCCACTTAAAGCAAGAACTTAATTTTCCATAAAGGTCTCCCAACTTAGCACTGGTTAAGTACAACCTAGTCAACTGGCTCTACAATGTGATAAACTTGTTTACTTGTGCTTGAACCCAATAATACCTTGGACAACAGCAATAATGAATATCTCATAGAGATGCAAAATTGTGATGGAAAATACCTTTAAACTGAGGCTCTCTGGGATCTTGTCTACTCACTGACTGTTCTTTCTCTTAGTACCGTTTAAATTGTGGGGAGCAAGATATGTTTATTTAATATGGGGAGTTCATCCCATTTGCTATGCTGCATGCTGTGGGGAACACACTGCCACTTTAGGACCTGGAAGGGGGAGAGTTAAATCATTATATACTGTAGGTTTGCGTGCAGTTTACATGGATTAAGATTTGATATCTTTCAGATGTTTTTGTTCTGATGAAGAGTAAAACTTATCCTAAATTTAAGTCTTCTTTTTTGCCATTTTAGGAATTTGAAGTATGGGCTAACAGAGCAGAAGAAAATGGCTTTGTGCTGGTTTCATTTGGAGCTGGTGTTAAGTACTTGTCAGACGATATTGCAAAGAAATTGGCAGGAGCACTGGCGCGTCTTCCTCAGAAGGTTATCTGGAGGTAGGTATTTAAGGCCCTATTTTTTGCTGAAATGTGAGGTGATTGCACAGTTGAGATCCATGCAAGAAATTGCTGTTTGTATCTTTCATGACTCCTTTGTAGCTTCCAACTTCACAACATGAAGCACAGAAGATGAAACATAAACTAGATACAACAGATATAAGAAGAGGTGGGTCCAGAGTGGAAAACAATCTTGATGTTTTACCCTTGGTTGGAAGGTGGTAGATACTGGATATCAGACACTCATTGTTTTGGGGGGGAGTAGACTGGGGAGATGTGTCTGCATTAGAGCTGTAGGGGAACGCTCAAAGGTTAATTCTAAATGATTACATTTGTAACAACGAATCAGGTCAAGAAGAAAAAACAGTGTTTTGGCAGTGGAGCCTTAAGTGCGTTATCTCCAAAGGCAGAAATTTGTGTTTTTTCTTAATTAATTAATGTGTCAGTTACTGCTACAAATATAAATATTTGTAATCCTGCTTTTCATAATAATTTGTTACAGTTTTGCTAGTGTATGGTTGGTGAAATCTGGTCCGATGATTTAGCTGTGGTATATTTTACTAATGACATAAAATGAAATAATGAATTAAATTAAAGATTAGATGGTTTAGTAATGCTAAGAATAAATATATCCCTAACAAAAATCTTTTAATGAATCAATTAAGCATATTTTGCAACAGCTCTGAAGAAATACAACTAATAATGTTTTTATTAAGCACAGTGATAGGTGGGTTTTAAATGTTTATAATTAGCAGAGGCAGTAACACATGACAAATGCGTGTATAGATGTACAGTAACTTTCCATGTAGCTTTAATATGCACTTGCACAGTAACTTCCAGTATATTTTCTTCTTAACATGAATTATTTAACATTATTATAGTTAGTAGTTGTGCCAACAAAGCAGTAAATAAGGTAAAGGTAAAATCGCCAAGCGTGCCCACATCAGTATTTCCTGTAGATAGTATAGATAACAATTTTCCCATGCAAATCTGGTTGGATGTTTTTCCTTACATTAGAAAACGTTTTAAGTTGGAAAATAACCCCAAAACACTTTCTCTTGTTTGGTTTTCATTTTCAGTCTTCATAGTTTAATGGTCTCATACTGTATAAACCCGTCAGCATTATATTAAAAACCCTTGCTTACTTATCAGGAATTTCAGAGATTTAATCTGATTTGATCATTTCCCTAAAATAAGGGCAATATTTGAACATGTTGTTTAAAAGTTAAGAAGCAAAACATGTTTTATTTTCTGAAGGGACAAAATGTGTCAAAGACCAAGACAATGCCGTGAATGCATTCAGCGATTTAAGAAATATTAAAGAAACAAAGCAGAACACTAGAGCAGTCCCTCCAGTTTTGTGTTGTTGCCACTTGTTTTCTGTATTGAACCTGACAGGCATTCCTCATGTCCTCAGTAAGGAATTTTACAAAAGCCATATTTCACTCTAAAACAGTATGTACATTTTCTGTTTTCTATTTTTAATGGTACTGTAGTAGATTCCTATGTTACTCTATTGCGTGCTCTGCTGAGCTCACATGAATACAGTTTGTAATCATAGATACACATTTTTCTACTAAAAAATTAACATAAAAATCCACAGATTTCTAAGTGTAGATTACAAATGAAAAAAAAAAGGATTAAATAACAAACGTTATCATAAAACATAGACTACACAAGCATAAGTGGATCTCACGCCCGAATCTGTTAAACTGATACTCCGACTTCTCTTGAATCATTTATCTAATAGCTTCCAAATGGGCTAGACAGAATGAATGACCCCCTCTTCTTTGTAAGTTTGTTTATATTCTTATGTTTAAAAGGTAGCCCAGACAAGTTTGTTGACAAAGGTAGCTGTAACAAGACTATTGTTACACACCTTACTAGTATCAAAATAAAAATAAAGCTTTCTCAGTCCTGACCCTAATTCAGATTTACTTGCCTCCTCAATATCTCTCTTTTGAGTTTCCTGCATCACAGTCTCTGGTGATGGCCCTCTACTTTTCACAGGAAGAGGATTAACAATTCAATTCAGATTCTCAGGAGATCTGCTCATTTTCCTGGTTACCAAATGTATACAGTAATGTCCAGAAAGTTTATATGAGTGATGTGAGTTTAGTGATTTGAGGGTTTTTATTTTACTGTAATAATTCAAAATTGGAACAGTAAATTGCAAGAGTGCTTTGTTGACTTAGGAATCAATCAAACATAATAATTTACAGTCTCACACAAGGATTCTAAATATACAATTTATTGATAGAACACCAAAACATGCGTAACAAACCAACAAACATCATAAAGTATATTTGTGAATCAATCTGCCGTGATACGAAAGGTTCGTCATTCACCCATTGATTATAGATCAGAGGTAATAACAAAGTTAAAATATATAGACTGTAATGTTACTGTTGACCTCATAGGAAAGATCAGTCTCATACAGTTAAATCAGTTAAATCATTTACTATATTCTCACATACTGTACAAGTAGATATGCATTTATTATTGTGAACAAAACTATCAAACAAGTGTTGGCATAACCCTTCAGTTTTAAGAATTATAATGTGGAGATGGAGACGGGCTGCATTCTTGTCATGGTTTCTTCAGCTGCTTGCTCTGTTATGGGAGCGTCCCAACGCAGAGAGGAGAGAGAGCACTGCCTATTGTTTCTGAGTATAGCTCTTCCAGGAAGTTAGAGTTGTGCACTGTCATCTGCCTGGGGCCTGCCACAGGTAAGACAGGCTGGAAAAACTCAATTCGACCAAGCTGTAGCTTTTTACTGAACATACTTGGATATTAAGATTGTTGACAAAAAGAGTCCAGCTGTTTCAGTTTCGTTGATCAGGTGCAATTATATGTTTTTTTGCAAAACACAACATTACTGCTGTTGCAGAAGGAATATCCTAGGTAGAACTCTGGTCTTCAGGGACTCATGACCTAGGTTCTTGGAACAAAAATTCTGATTTATACTACTCATTGTCACATGGTTGGTAAAGTCAGATTACCAGTTTTGTTAGTTAGAGGAGAGTTGAGCCAGAGAGTTAAACAATGAAATTAGTTGGGTACTACTTTTATTAAGTCAGCAATTACAGTTGATGATTGGTTATGATTTTATCAGGTATAAACCTGGTATCCACCGTGCACTGAGGCATTAAAATAAAAAAAATGAATTTAGTATCTTGTTTTTAAAACACATTGTCTAAGAAGGTTAAAAACCAAGTATAGTATCTCATGTATTCTCCATTTCCTGCTAGCAATCCTCACATTTAAATTGGCGATGACATTACAAGAATGTTTCAAGATCATGGCACCACATATTCTGCTAATTGAGAAGTCCACAGCTCACATGTACAGTAAATGGTTGTGGTTTCCAAAGGTACACACATCAATCCATCAGGTCCATGATGTGCTCTTTCAGGTTCATGTCATATTAATGTGTGTAGTCCATTACACATGTTATGGGTGTGTTGAAAATTACTTAGTAAAGTAAAGTACAGTGTGTGGGTGGAGACCATTTTCTATGAAGCTCCATAGTTAAGGATTTATCAATACAGACAAATTGTGATCTTCATGCATACTATAGTGTAGCCCATCCACCACCCAACATGGTGAGATCCATCATCACACCTCCATCTCCACTTCTACAACGCAAAGTGAATGTTAACTCATTTTGCATGTTATGCACGCTACCTCCTGTTGTGTCATAATAGACTTAACTGTGACTCTTTTAAATTTCTGTTTGTACAGTTTCCATTGGAATGTGTTTGTGCCCAAGCATGACTTGTTTCCAGATGTAGGCTCTGCTCTCCAGTCTTCATCCTGGAGCTGCTGTCCTATGGTATAGATGCTGATCTGGTCATGGCTATCTTAGATGTTACTGTGGCAATCTGACAAGCTGACAACTGCAAATCACAGAGTTGCCACCATTGTATATACCAGTTTTGCTCAGGGGTGTGCAAAGTTTTGTGTGACTGGCCTGGCTGTCTTTGGTCATGGATTGAACATATCTGAATGTTCATGAGTGCAACTGTGACAATATCATGATATTTTTCAGTATCATGACCTATGTTCCATTGTATCTGGTGATTCTTAATTTGACATTCCAGCCCTTAGCACCCCGATGGCCTCTTCCATTCTGCCCTGTGCTGGTTGTGGTATTTTCTCCAGTTTTCCAGTTTTCTTACCCATGGTTTTAGGTGCAGTAACTTATGAACATCACTACAATCAGTTACAAATCTGTACATTGACAAGCCATTCTAATATATTTGATGAATATTATTTTATTCATTATTTTAATATTTGTATGATGAAATTGTTGATAATTTATGAATTGGGTTCATATGTCTGGGAAAGTATTATAAACAACATCATATGTTGTAATTGAATATCTCTACATATTTTTTAAGCATTTATTTATTCTGATGTTAAATAATACTGCATAAGAGAAATGCGAATGATGAAAGGTTTAAGAAAAATACAGTCTTGTTTTTTCTGTATTTTCTCAGCAAAATAAAGGTGTAGTTAAGATCTTGAAGATTTGGACTCAGGTATGTTATCTTCACGTCTACTAATTGATGGCTATGAACGATAACTTCAGACATCCATGTTTACTGCCTGAAGGTACAGTTGATATAGAACGTCTACACACCCTTATTGAAATTGCAGGTTTTTGTGATGTACAGCCAGAAATAAAGATGAATCATGTCAGACATGATTTAATATGACCTTGCAACCAACAAAATTCAAGAGAAAAACAAATAGATAATTATTAGGAAAATTAATTGAAATTAACAAACCTACAGCACCCTGGTTGCATAAGTGTGCACACCCCTCCATAATAATACTTTGTGGATGCACCTTTTGCATTTATTACAGCAGTAAGTCTTTGTGAATAAGTCTCTATCAACTTTCCACACCTGGACTTTGCAATTTTATCCCACTCTTCCTTGCAAAAAAGTTCAAGCTCCTTAAAATTGCCAGGCGATCTCCTGTGCACAGCCCTC